AACCCAAAGTGGCCCCAACCTGATAAATGAATGTCTACGCGTGGAACTGTCAAGGAATCGGCAGCACCTTGACTTCCCAGACGCTTAAAGCTTGCCGCAATATTGCCAAGTCATTCTTGTTTTTGAGTGAAACTATGTCTCATAGTGACAAAGTCAGGTCTTTTATTTCATCGTTAGGTTTTTCAGATTGTCACCCTGTCGACCCTTCCGGCATGTCGGGGGGTCTAGTCTTTGCTTGGCCACCATCAACTTCAGTCTCAATTCTGGGCTCTTCCCCTTGCTATATTGCCATCTCAGTCATCAATAATAATAACCTTTGCTATGGAGAATGTCCTCGGTTTGTCCTCATAGGGGTTTATTTATCCTATATTGTGACTAAGCACCGGTCTCAACTAGAGGAAATTGCAAATTTTTGTACTCGACTTTCAGACCCCTACATAGTTATTGGAGATTTCAATAGCTCCTTATATCCACTTGATAAGACAGGAGGATCCCCATGGCGAATGGATAAAGCTCGCCCACTATGGGACTTTATTAACCTTTTAGGGCTATTTGAACCAAACTCCCAAGGTCCCAAATTTACCTGGACAAATCGGGGATGAAATGGAGTCACGATTGAACAAAAAATAGATAGAGTCTTCGTCTCTACATCCTGGATGAGCATCTGGCCTTCGATGGGGGTATATCATCTCACAGACATAGGATCGGATCATAGGTTACTTCACTACAGACAAATCCTACAATGGCTAGAGCAAAGAGACTATTTCGATTCGATCTCAGGTGGATTCAGATGCCAGAAGCCAAGCTAATTATCACTTATGCTTGGAATCTAGAAGTAGCAGGCTCAATTCAATACTGCCTATTTAGCAAGCTTCTGAGAACTAGGCATGCGCTGGTTGGCTGGTCCAAAGGAGGAAAGTCAAACTCAGCAAGATTAAAAAATGACATAAACCGTGCACTAGAAGTGGTTAGATCCAATGCTCCGGTAAACTGGGCCCTAGTTAAATCCTTGGAAAAGAATTGATTGTTCAATATAATCGGAAAGAAATATTTTGGAGACAAAAATCCCGAACTAATTGGCTACAAGGTGGGGATAAAAACACCGCTTACTTCCATATAGTCACCGCTGCCAAACGTCAAGCGAATACAATTTGGGGTCTGGAAAACTCCCAAGGGTCATGGTGTACTGCAAAACATGAGAAATTGAACATAGCCGTGGAATACTATAAAGATCTCTTCCTAACACAATGTATGACCACGATTGACCTATCCCACCTTTCGGTAGAAAAAACAGTAGATGAGATCCAGAATCTAAGCCTAATTGCTCCAATATCTCAAGAAGAAATTAAGAAAGCGGTGTTCAGCATAGGCAAATCTCAAGCCCCACGCCCTGATGGATTTACAACAGGCTTCTACCAAAACTATTGGGATCTAATCAATCAAGATGTGATCCAAGCAGTTCTGGCTTTCTTCCATTCCGGACATTTACTAAGATCCTTCAACCGTACTTGGATATCACTGGTCCCCAAGGTAAAGAACGTCATAACAATGAAAAACCTAAGACCAATCAGCCTTTGCCAAGTGATCTACAAAGTCATAGCGAAAATTTTGGCAGATAGACTGAGTAGAGTGCTACCTAGGATCATATCCCAAACACAGAATGGATTTATCAAAGGAAGCCAAATCTCAGATAATATCCTGATCAGTCATGAAATGGTCCATCACCTTAAAACCTCAAAGTCCAAGAAAAAAAGGTGGATGGCAGTGAAACTTGATATGGAGAAAGCATACAGTCGAATAGAATGGCCTTTCTTGTTCGAAATGATGAGGATTCTTGGTATAAATCCTAGATTCATCTCTTGGGTAAAAGAGTGCGTCACTACAGTGTCATATTCGATTCTTATTAACGGCTCCCCTTCAGAGTATTTTAGACCTTCAAGAGAACTAAGACAAGGAGATCCTTTATCGTCTCTCCTTTTCGCCATCTGTGCCGAAGGATTCTCTAGTATGATAAGGAAAACTACCTCAGTAGGATACCTTGAAGGAGTCAGAATCCGCCCTAGTTGTCCGGTAATTTTCCATTTATTTTTCGCGGATGACTCATACCTATTCTTGTCCGCCTCACCGGAATATTGCACATCTCTCCTTTCCCTCCTTCAGGCTTACGAGGAATTAAGCGGTCAATGAATAAACTTAAATAAATCAGCTGTCCTCTTCAGTCACAATACATACCCTTCTCAAGCTCAAATTATGGGTGCTCAATTGGGTGTTGGAATCATAGGAGAACATGACTCTTACTTAGGTCTACCAGCTATCTTATCTAAATCAAAAAGAGAGACATTCCAGTTCATGGAGGAGAAACTTATTAAGAAGTTACAAGGATGGAAACAACGATCCCTATCGAAAGCCGGAAAAGACATTCTCATTAGAATATCGGCCACTAATATACCAGTTCTAGGAATGTCATGCTTCAAGCTTCCCAAGGAAAACTGTAGACGCTTAAACAGTCATATCGCAAAGTTTTGGTGGGTACGGCTCAAAATTCAGACCACCCAATCCATTGGCTGTCTTGGAAAAGCCTAGCTCACAGCAAATTCCATGGAGGGCTTGGATTCAGGGACTTTGAAGCCTTCAATCAAGCGTTGCTAGCTAAACAATGTTGGAGAATATGGACCAATCCAAATTCACTCCTTTCCCAGATTTATAAGGGTCGATACTTTACTCAATGCTCGGTGTTGGAAGCGTCAATCGATTCAAACCCTTCGTGGGGGTGGAGAAGTCTACTCTTTGGAAGAGATCTGCTCCTATTAGGATTAAGATGGCAAATAGGCAATGGGCAAAAAATCCGGGCGTTCATTGATAAATGGATTATGGGGGATAAACCCTTAATCCCGAGTACTCGACCCCATATTCAAAATGGATCTCCTATGGTATCTTATTTCATAAAAGAAGGTCGAGGGGAATGGGACGTTCCAAAACTCCAGAATTGTTTTGAACCTCAGACTGTTGATCTCATAAGGAGAATTCCTATGTCTCGTTGCTCACAGCAAGACATTAGAGTGTGGCACTATTCCAAAGATGAAAAATACACAGTCAAATCGGGTTATCACTTAGCTCTGAAAATAATATTGGCTCCAAGTCGAAAACCGATAGCGCAAATCATCGACCCCCTATTTGGAAAAAGACTTGGAACATTGAAGTTCCGCCTAAACTCAAATTCTTCATATGGAAATGCATCAAAGTCATACTTCCCACAGTAGTGGCCCTTCAATCTCGAGGAGTAGACTGTCATAATAGGTGTCCTGTCTGCTGGAGACATCCGGAAAGTATTGAACATTTATTCTTCAGATGCCCCCTAGCCATTAGATTGTGGACTTTAGTGGGGTTGAGCAACTTTATTGAGACCGCTCAGACTGTTAACTTTAGTTTATGGTGGCGACATGTCATGGTATCCGAGACCGCCCCATTCCACATTCTCCAATGCGTCTGTTTACTTTGGAGAATCTGGAAGTCTAGAAATGAAGTGACCTTTGAATTTACCCAACCCCATGTCCGTTCCCTAGCCAGACAATTCTACAACCAGGTCCACGAATTATCCAGTCTCCTTCCCCCCCCCCCCCACTCCGCAGCTCTCTTCACCCAAATATTCCGGCCACCTCTTGGGTCCCTCCACCAGAAGGCTTCTTGAAGATCAACGTCGACGCAGCTGTCAGTGCCTCCGGGTGTTCGTCTGGGCTTGTAATCCGTGGGTCAGACGGGCATGTGATGTTGGCGTTCGGGTTGCAGCATCAAGGAATAGTCAACCCTTATCTGGCTGAGCTTCTCGCTTTCAGGGATACTATTTCCTTTGTAGCCTCTAGATCCTTGACCCACGTGATAGTCGAAGGTGATTCCGAAGTGGTTGTCAACCAAGTCCGTCAAGGCGTTTCAGAAGATTCGATTGGTGGTGCGGTGTTACGAGAGTGTCTTCAGATCCTTAGCTCTTTGTCTATTTTTATAGAGTTTAGGGCGGTACCTAGAACCGCCAACAGTGCTGCCCATAGAGTGACGCGTAAAGCACTGCTTTTGTCTCTAGTAGAGCTAGAATCTTTTGATTTCTTGGGGGTGGCTTCTTTAGAAACTTTTAGGGGTCCTGGGTAGAATTGTAAGCTTAACCTTTTTCCCCCTTTGATATCACTCAGAAATAAAAAATAAAAAAACTAACAAGCCTACAATTATATCTAAACTATCTCACTAATTATGCGTCTCCAACTCCATAGACCAGATTGGGCGGTGTTGGTTATTTCTCGCTACAATTTTACCAGAATATGGATCGGTAGGTTTCTTCTTGGCTACTCTTTCTTTTGGCGTTGGGCTAAAAATGGCTTGAATGTTAATAATACTCCAATGGCTTCCACTAGAATCAGAGTGAAGAATATCAACTGGGTCCTGTATCAACCATTTCCATTTGAATGTGAGCACTTCAATTTGCTACATGTTACCAATAATAACAATAAGGTAATTTTGGCTCTGGAAATTGGGACCTGGTAGGAAAGCAGCATCCTGACATGATTCTCCCCTAGAGAGTCTGCACAAACAAATGTAAGGACGATAAGAAAAGGAACAATAATATATACGTACATGACAACAACAACAACAACAACAACAATAATAATAATAGAAGACACGGAGACTTACAAAGCACCCCCTCCAACAGGACCAACAGCTCTGAAAAGTGACATCGCTATCATAGCAATGCCATTGGCCGCTCCTCTCTGGTGTTAGTCCTGTCATGTTTAACAAACATGGAGTGAGAAGCTATAACTTGGTTCAACAAGCATAGAGTAGGAAGCAAAGAGCTTACCACCGCCTTTTTTTGGAGAATCGACAAGCCCGTTGAGATGGACACCTAGTGATGGATGGAGAAAAAGAAAGAGCCAAGTGTTACGTAGAGTCTAAAGAATATGATTTGTTGTGATAATTATTTGATACCAAACAACGACTCTAATGCTCTATTTGCATTAACTTACCGCTAGAATATTGTTCAACAGAGATGCACAATTCAACAGTAGAGTGAGAGTAAAACCCTCGAACTTTAACAGGAAAGGGTAACTTGCCAACAACGGGATGGTCAAAGCCTGTGAGAGAGATATATAATCAACCGAAAGACTCAATATAGAAAGTTCAGAAATGGGTGAAACTAGAAAAGAGGGGGGGGGGGGGGGGGGGAGGGGGAAGGGAAAAAGAATCGTTATATAGATATGGACGTTTACCCCAGCAAGACGGGACACCATGACAGGTCCAAGACGCTTCTCCATGTATGGATATAGAGAAAGTTGGACAAGAAGAAGGCCTAGACCTACACAGTTTCAAAATTTGATGGGTGATGTTAGTTAATCTTAATTTGCTCAGTGTCGTTTAGCTAGCAAGTGTCATGCAAGCTTGATCATAGGATATGTGACTTACGTACCTAAGACAGTGAGAACTTCTCCCACATCTGTTGTTGAGTACCCGAGACCACCCAACTTTCGGGGGCTCGCAGCCCACAATGAAAATATCTGCATGCACAAGATCAAGTTCTAATTATAAACTTTTGTTGTTTCCCCTAACCAATAATTGTCTCTCTCACAAGAATATCGCGGATTCATGCTATATCATATCTCGACATGCATGTATATATATGTATGTATACCTCCGAGTAGGCCATGTCATGGAGTGAGAAGACCCAATACACAATGATAGCTGACATCAGAGGCCAATTCCTTAGGAGGCTTTGCTCAGCAGCTGCTCTATTTCCATCACCATCAACCACCAGGTGCATCAGGAGTTTCCGGAGCATCACAAGGGCCATCTCTTGCCGTCCTTTCTTCATTGTGGAAGTGCAATGTTTCCTGCCAAACAAAATCATTAATTGTTCATCATGTGTTCCTTTAACATGTATATATGTATGCTAGTCACGGACCCGGCCAGATGCATTTCGTCAACTTCGTAAGCAACGGTCGTAATTAGTATGCGAGATATGTATTTATCATAGCTTTAGGCCTTTACCTACTAATTGGGTTTTGCCCGAGGTTGTTAGTTCGAGTTTCTCAAGAAAGAACAAATTCTCTCTTTCTTAATAATTCTTTACCTCGGGTCTAAATCTTAATTAAATATTCTTTATCTTAAATTTAAGATAATTGTAAACTTGTTTTCGTCAACTCCATAAACAATAGTAATAGTAGCAATTAGTATGTGAGATATATATTTATCATAGCCATAGGCCTTTACCCATTAATTAGTTTATGCTTGAGGTTGTTAGTTCGAGTTTCTCAAGGAAGAAAAATTGTCTCCTTATTAATAAAATCTTTATATCGGGTCTAAATCCTAGTTAAGCATTCTTCATGTTTAATTCAAGATAATTAAAGTACATAATATTTCATCAAACTTTCCTTTATCTTTGCTCGAACATACTTGACTATAAACTAACAAATTCCCCAAGGATCCTTAATTACATGCTATTCTAAGTCCTTAATTAAGGATTTTTAGACATTGATAGAGGCCATTTTAGATCATTTGCTGGCCTTTATCAACTAAGACACTTAATTCTTAGTCATTCTCTTCAAACATTTGCTTGTACGCAACACAGAAGGTGAATTAAAGCTAATATAGAGTCTCCAGCATGTCTCACCTGATGTTAGACAACGAAGATCTAAAAATGCTTTAATCTCATTAATGCAAACGCAAGCTGCTAAAGATTTTTCTTGGATTTGGTATTTTTTTCCATTACCATCTCGTTTAGATGTCAAAGTCGCCATTGTTCAGTCTGCAGGTTTGTTGATATATTTGAACAAATACTTTATAGCCACAGATAACATAGTAAATTAATCATATGATTTAAAAACATTCAAATAAAATATAATAATAAAGTTGAAAATTTTATTGAACTATGAAGCGTTATATATTGACTCTAGAAATTTGGTTTCACCATATTTTGATTTATAAATTTAAAAAATTAAATTGTTGAAATTTTGGTGATAATTCTGTTCGCTTGGCCCAGTGTATGAAGAAAAATAATATTACACTTGACCTAAATCAAAAAATAAAATAAACCTAAACCTAACACACGCCTTACATTCCCACAATTTCACAAAACCACCATTCCTAAATACACAATAATAATATGGAAATGACAATATTAATTACAAAGCGGTTCTAATCATAACCCATTAGAATATGGTCAAGTATTCCCCTTTAGAAAAAAATGGTTAAGCACAACTTCTTGATATCGCATCATAATTTAGTAAGTACTCTGTTACGTTGACAATATGAATAACGAATAAATAGTGAAAATGGTTCAGAAAAAAAAAACTATAGGAGACCAAAATAATTGAAAGATTATGTAAGATTAATTTAATGAGGATATAAAAATAAAATGGGATGAATAACTAATAGATGTTTGAAATTGCTACAACAGATCTGTGTTATAAGAAACAACAAACCGATTATCTAATTAATGAGATCACATTCACCATAAATGATATGTTGTTTCAACTTGAAAACTCTTGCGAGGACATCAACTCTATTGCGATATTTTCTAGTAGTAGTCCTTATCAAATCAATAATGTATTGAGTCTCAGACCTATCAGGATTACATGTAAATGTGATGAAAAGATTTGGATGTCCTGTCCAGTCACAAATTGACATAACATCATAGAAGTTTTTGTACTTATACCGAGGACCATCTGTATGTGATGAAGATAAAGTCACATGTTTTTCACTCACACTCGTACCTGAATCACCTCTCAAGTAAGAATTCTAAATACCTTGGTAGTAATGTTGTTACAACCTTATTTGATTGCCTGCAATAGAATATTTAAAACCTCTAGAGGAGGGAGGTTCACTTTGCCTTGTGTTTGCAACACAATGAAAACTTCGGTTGATCGGAATTTCTAGTGGGTTTGATGCTACTTCCGCCCTTCCCATCGTAACTCCACAATATATGATAGGTTTCCAATGACAAATATTTCAACAATTGTCAATAAAATTAAACTCCGATATAACAAATACATTTGAAAAAAATTATAACATTACCATACATGAAGAAAACTGAAATACTATAAATATCAATAAACCTGAAAAGTCTTCGAAACGCATCACCTGAAGACGATTATAATGGTTTTTGGCATGTTTGATAGATCTTCACAATCTATTTTCTCTTAGTTTATAAGTTACTTATCTCAAATTGAAGTCTTGTATAGGATTAGTAAAATAAGAAATCTTAGCATTCAACATAGAATTTGGTGACCATATAAATCGAAAACAAACATGAAATCAATGGATTACCCGTAGGAATTTTGACAATTTTTCTATGTATAGGCTTTTGCCTTATATAAAGAGCATGTTCTCTTATTGCTATTTTTTTCAATGGTTGGTCAATTCCCTTCAACGCTGACTTATGTGCATTAATTTCTGAATATTTAAAATAGATAGTAATAGTTTTGTAAGATCAAGTCATATGAAATAGTTGGAGAGATTATAAACAATGGATGGTTCATCGATTTTCATACCATCATAAAACTTTTATTGTGCTTCAGATAGAGATTTATCAAAATATTAATCGTACCTTTTGCTGGTATATAAACAACTCTTGTTTTCACTAAATCGCACATGGCATGTACACATATATAATTGTAAGATGTCTAGCATTATGAGAATAAAAATATATGTGCTTACATTCAACTTTTGATGATTCAATTGAAACAATATTTGGTTTTTGGACGACTCTCATGTGTCTTTGAGGCATCTAACTGCAAAAAATAAATGCTAATAATTTTTGTAAAAATAATTTGAACCTTTGATTCACCAACCATCCTTAATCTTGAAAAATTAATTAGGTACCTATCCTATTCATATTCTCTTACAATTATATTAATATATAAAAAATATGCACCTTTTATTAACCAACCATCCTTAATCTTCAAAATTAATTAGCTACCCATCCTATTTATATTCTCATACGCAGTGGCGTAGCCAGACTTTGAATTGACTGGGGTCCTTAAAGTTTTTAAAATATTTTAGTATGTGTATCTAAAGAACTTTGAGTTGATTGGTGTCCTTAGATGAGCTAATATTAACAAAAGTATGCGGTCATAAATACAAAGAATCATACTAAACCCTACATATCTAAAGGGTTTTGTTGCCCCTTTTTTTCTAAGTGGGTTCCTAGGACCCTCTCCTCTACATGGCTCCGCCACTACTCATACGGTACCTAATGTTTTCAAAAATACGTTTTTTCGTAGAAGCATTTTGGTGATCTAGAAGCGTAAAATAGTAAGCTTTTAAGCTTTAAACGCGTTTTCAACTACAATAGTTATAAAAACTACGATTTTGTTTAAAGTGTTTTTGTGACCTAGAAGCGTAAGAGTATAAGTTTTTAAACTTTAAAAATGATTTTGACTACATTGCTCATATGTAATCTCGAAAATTTAATTAACTATCCATTCTATTCATATTATTACCAGTATCAAGAATAAATTATAATTCAAATTTTTAACCATGGGTATTATCTTTTTAAGAGCGAAGCAACTGCAAGAGAAATTTTTTATCAACAATCAATATACATTAATTTGGTATATAATATGATAGACCATCTAATAATTAAATTGAAATAATTATAGCATCGTCGGCACACCTATTAAAATAAAACAAATTGGGATAGGACTCATAGTATAGCAGTAGAAACTAAATAAATTAAAGAAGGTGAAAAGAGAAAGCGATTATTGGATCAGGTGTAGTATTTAGAATTGATAATCTTAGGTCATAGAGACCCATCTTCTGAATTAAAGGAAAAGACTAAAGAGTCCTTCCGTGAGCTACGCACAAGCCAGCAAAACAGAAATTGTGTGGGTCATGAAGGAGAACGTCTATATAGTCTTGTTTGATGATTTGATTGAAACTGAGAGCTGCACGAGGCAGAGTGAACTAAACAATACTAATCGATCGAGGTTGTGATCGATATAAATCCTTATTGAAATCCGTAACGACGCAATGGTTACTGCGAGAATGATGATCGATATAGCAAGGGAGGGTAACAAGTAGGGAAATCTGCATTCAACGAGCAGGACGGTTACACAACATCCAAATTTGCACAAGGAAAGCAAAAATGTGACGAGTAACGGGACGTTGACATACCTCCCAAACAGAGAGTCCTGGGGCATAGGCATAGCCAGCCCAGTTGGGCCTTGTCACGGGACAGGGGTAAATTTTGGGAGGAACAAAAATACTCCATATATGTTTATGCTTGTTAAGGATGGAACACGACACCTAGTACAACGTATTTTGTCACTATATCACAATTCTTTACTTGATCATAAATTGACATTAAATTAATTTATTATACTATATACGAAATCTCAATTGGAATATATCTCTTTTCTTCATATGTCTATTCGATTATTTTCCCAACAATCTTGCAGCAGTCCAGTAGTGGCGTAGATTCCACTAGTTTTGACGACAAGTGTAGATAAAACTTTTTCAGTTTTGAGCTATATCAAGAACAAACTCTGAAGTCGAATTCACAACC